TCAACTCCTCGTTTGGGAGATCTTCAAGCTGCGGGCCGTTCTTTCGGCCATTCTATTTCAGGGTTTCAGGACTCTGAGCGATTTTGGAGGTCTTGCGGTCGCGGGCTCGACTCAGTCAGGGCTTTGCCGGAATTTTGGGGGCTTCGAGGGTTTTGGGGGTTGAGGGATTTGCTGGATTTTAAACCTGCTGGTTTCTGTTTTGCTTTCAGGGTCACGGTTTTCTGGGTACAGGTTCAAGGGTTTGGGGGGGTTCAGGGTGACCTCCGGCGGGCGGCGTGGGGCCTGTTTCAGTCCTCCGTTCTGCTGCCCACACGACTAGAAATACAATCAACTTTCAAGCAAGGTACCGACATTTAAATCCTAAACGCCTAAACCCCAAACCCTAAACTCAGATAAGGGTGGTGCCGAGTCTAAACCCAACCCTGGAACCCTTCAAGCAGGCTTCCCGGCGTAGAGATGCGCCCCTTTGTGCTACAATCCTCGTCTGCGCACCCTAAACCCTAAACCCTAAACCCTAAACCCTAAACCCTAAACCCTAAACCCTAAACCCCTAACCCCCAAAGGTCTCTGGCCTGAAGAGGATCCGCTGAAGCCTGGAGAGTCGACTTTTAAGGTCTATGGACCAATTTTGGGGCTTAACTTTGGAACAGTCCTGCAAAAAAAAAGACATCGCATCATCACCATGAGCTTTGCGCAAAAACAGCACAAAGCGGAAACATTCTGATCTACTCATATTTGCGAGCAAATTTCTGGGCAGGGATTATCTATAAACCTCACCAACCCTACACCCCATAGCAAAGGTCAAGTAAAAAAACAAACACCCCAACACCCCACAGCAAAGGTCAAGTCTTGCCTCTACAAGCCGATCCCTGAACCTTAAACCCCAAACTCCAAACGCTAAAACCCTAAACATCCCTAAACCCTAAACCCTAAACCCTAAACCCTAAACCCTAAACCCTACCCTAAACCCTAAACCTTAAACCCTATAAACCCTAAACCCTAAAGCCCCAATTCCGATCCCAGGCCCGCCTCGTCCCTCGACGGAAGCCACTTGGCTGACCCAGCCTTTGGACGCTTTTGCGAGGACGAAGGTCCCCGAGTCTAACCCCTAGGGGTTTAGGGTTTAGGGTTTCGGGTTTAGGGTTTAGGGGCTTCAGCGGTTTTAGGTTGGTTCCCCCTTATACTAACAGTCCTTAATCTGGAGCGAAATATTCGCGAGTTGCTGAGTAGAATGATAGCGTGTGCCTCAGGCAACGCCCCTCCCGTTGTCATGCCAGCATCAACGACGGCAGTGCCTGCGCTGCTTTTCATCACCAAACATACCAAAACTCAAGAATCCCTGAACATCCCTATAACCAAATGGGTCCCCCAGATTGAGACCCCTAAGTATACCCTAAACCCCAAATCGATGCGACCAAGCCCATGGCGAGATCGATGAGCAGTCCCGGCGACCCGCGCCGACAGCGCCCTTGGCAGCAACATGAGGGCTCGAGGTCAGGATACCCATATAGAGGCCTAAAAAAGTCAGGAACCCTCTTGAACAAGCCACCTAGGGAGTACAAAACCTCCTCTTCCTTGCCGGAAGTTTACGAATAACCCCAAGACATTCTTAGTCTTGAGGTTTAATTGGGGTTTGCAAGGGAAGTTGGACAACCACCAAATCAAGACATGAGCGCCAGCTGGGCAGAAGATAGGACATTCGCACAGCGCTTGAAGAAGGTGTGGGGCTTCGGGCTTCTGCTTGTAGCTTCGGGCTTATGGGTTCGAAGGATTTCTCGTGGGTTGAGGGTTGAACCCTAAACCCTAAACCCTACACCCTAAACCCTAAGCCCTGTAGCCTTCTGAGATACCTCTCAGGGTGCGACGAAGCCGAGTTGTCAGCGAAAGGGCGGGGCCGTCGCTTTGGACCTGCAGAAGAGGGCCCCAAGGGTTTAGGGTTTAGGGTTTAGGGTTTAGGGTTTAGGGTTTAGGGTTTAGGGTTTAACAACCCGCCACTGCATGGTAAGTCCTGTTTGCTACAAGCCTATGAGCAATCAGGGTTTCAATGTGCAGCAGAGAAGCATGGCTAGGGTTTAGAGTTTAGAGTTTAGAGTTTAGGGTTTAGGGGTTTAGGGGTTTAGGGGTTTAGGGGTTAGGGTTTAGGGTTTAGGGTTTAGGGTTTAGGGTTTAGTGCTGAGTTACAAGTAAACTCTTCCTGACCTTGCGCGTCACTGCCCCAGTTCTCAGGGTCGATCCAAGGGCCCTAAACCCTAAACCCTAAACCCTAAACCCTACACCCTGTAAACCTAAAAAACCTTATAAACCTTATAAACCTTATAAACCTTAAACCCTAAACATGCCCCTAAAGCACTCTACCCTTACCAGTGGTCGCTTAGGGTGTTTGGGGTTCAGGGTTCCTGGCTTCGAACTTCCTCCCAAAGCACGCTTCTAGAGACCCCTTATAGTGGCATAGTAGCATCCCTTATGTAAACGGCCCCCCTGCCCCCCCAACTCTGACAGACCCTAGCTAAAAGTGAAAACTGACCCAGGTGCCGCACAGTCCCCGCACCCTCTTTGGGATGGACATGGCCTGGAGTGAAGTCAGGGATCAGATGGTTAGCCGTTAAGCCCCCCCGGGTATCCTTTCTGCTAAGGGGTTTTACGATAAAGGGTACCTATACTTTTACTGTAGTTGGGACTGTGGGATGGGAATTTCAGAGCTGTCCCTCGACGGCGTGCTGTAGGCTTCGTAGGGTTCTCGTCAGGATGAGTTAAGGTGAGAGTCTAGGCTTAGATTGTGGGGGTTAGGGCTTGTAGGGTTTAGGGTTTCAGGTTTAGGGTTCTAGGGCCTAGGGCAACAATTCAGCCTGATTCACGCGAGCCTGCATGCTTGCCATCTCGCAGAAAGCCAGCTACAAGGTCCCGATATGCCTCCTGCAACAAGCGAGTCTCTGCTGGAACTGTTTTGGGCAGCTAGAAGCCCTAAACCCTAAACCCTAAACCCTAAACCCTAAACCCTAAACCCTATACCCTAAACCCTCAGTTTTTCTATTAGATGCATGGTAGGTCCTCGACATACTTCTCGAAGGTTGCCAGGAGGTGTCCACGCTTCTCCTGGCCAGCAGGGCATCCACAGGCAGCACCAAGTTCTGCTACAAGTCGAGATGCGCTGGCTGGCACCTAGAGACGAAACAGACATAAAGTCAGTATATATATATATCTCTCTCTCTCTATTTATTTATATTCATATTCATAGTCATATTCGTATTTATACCTATTCATATTTGTATTTACATTTCTATTTGTATTTCTATGTCTTTTCTATTTCTATTTAAAATGTTTCATATACACATGCGAACCTCGGCAAGCTGTGGTGGCTTTGGGTTTCGGTTCGAGCCGACCTTGTAGCAACCTGTCGCACAGGAACACCCCCTGAGCTCCTCAGGCAAGGAGTCAAACTGCTGCAAAACCTGGACGTTGCAGAAGGTGGCTCTTCTACGCAAAACCCTCCACCCTCAACCCTGAACTTGAAGCAACCGTCCAACTTGAAGACTCTTTGTCAGTAAGTATAAGCACTGTGCAGCAGCTCTTTTCACCGAGGTCAGTCAGAGGAGCTCCAAAAGATCCTCTTAGACGATTGAGCAGATTGAGCTTTACGTTCTCGCCGTGCTTCCAGTGTCTTGCGTTGAGTTGGGCCCGGCGGCCTAGAAGCTCAAACCTCAAGCATCAAAACTGTCGGCGCTACGGCCGTGATTGGAGGATTGCAAACACCTAGAGTGTTTGAAGGGCAAGATTTCGAGCTACGGTGCCGAGACCGTGGCTCTTGCGTGGTTGCAGTGGCTCCTTGATGTCTCCAAGCTCCTAAATCCGAATCCACAGTGCCTACCTAAACCCTAAACCCTAAACCCCAAACCCCAAACCCTAAACCCTATACCCCAAGCCCTGCAAGTCCACAGCAGCCCTCCGGCCGGAGGGTCTCAGGATTCCTGTTTTTCTGACGGAAAAATCCAGCGCCGCGCAGGGCTCCGCTGCGTCGCTGTCGCGCCGAACCTGGGAGGATCGACTGCAGAGGCGCCTGGGGCCCAGACTCCCTTCGTAAGGATGATAGGGGGGTGGTGTACTGCATCCACACTACATGTATAATCAAATAAATAGGTACAAAAATCGACAAAGAAATAAACAAATAAAAACACATGTAAATATACACATACATATGAATATAAAATAAAAATATAAACACAAATACAAATATACATATAAATATAAATATAAATATGAATAAAGAAATATCAATATAAATATCAATATTCATAAACATATATATATATACATATACATATATATATATATACATATATGTGTATTGTTCATTTCTGATATCTATTAGTTATACATATAGATATAGATGTGTATAGCTGTCTTGGTAATCATGCATTCTCTTCAGAGCATCCTGAGCAGCTACCAGTAGCACGAAGTCAGCATCATGCCGGGGGCCAAGGGACTCAGAGCTTAGATGTGGAAGAGCTTGTCGTACTCGCCCTTCTCAAAGACGGCCGCGTTCCTGGATTCTGGACTGCTCTGGATTCTAGCATTCAGCTACACACACATGCAGGTCTTGATTCGACTGTTCCATGTTCTGCTGGTTCTTTAAAGTGACAGCATGAGAATTGAATGGTTAAAGGGGCTTTTCATGAACAGCTAGGGATTTGTTCAGTTGCACACATCCATGTCTCATTGTGGCAACTGCAGAGCTATCTGAAGCTGTCCGGGGTAGAGCTGAAGCCGTTTTTACCCCGAACCCTACCAGCCCTTGCACCCCGAACCCTACAGCACCACCGATGGCTTGCAAGCGGCATCTTCGACATGCTGAAGCCGTGCTCTTCCATCCATCCTTGGATTCAGTCGAGAAACGCTTGGCTTAGGATTGAAGGCGGCGCAGGATTCATATTGTGTCAAGCCAAGGGTCCATCATCCATGAACTTGCCTGGGATGCGGACTCCATTGAGGGTTGCTTTTGGGCTTTATGCTTCTGGGCTCCAGGGTACCGGCGGTTTTTGGGGGAGTTTCTGGCTTGCGCTTTCCAAAGCCTGTCCAAAGCAATGAGCATTCGAGCGAGCTGATGTGTGTGCGACCGATGAAAGAAGATGCAGTGGCGGAGCCAACCACATGTTGAGAACCATTCCGAACTTGCCTAACTTGCCATCATGCTCCAATGCTTTAGCTGAGACACTCATGTAATTTCGGGACGAGTCCGCGAGCAGCACAGCACAGCGCTTGTCCTCAGGGGCAAGCGCTGTAAACCCTGTGAGCCACATGTCCATACATGAACAAAGCAATAAGCTAGTACAGTACCATAACAGTAAAACAACGTATTACACTCCGCGCCTTGCCAATCTTGTGCTGCTGAATAACATAACCATTTAGCAATATGTAGCAATATTACCAATATAGCAATATCATGATATAGTAACATACTAATATAACAATATACTATACTCCGCGCCTTGCCAATCTTGTTCTGCTTGATGAATCGGTACGCTCCGGCAACGGTCGAACCGCAGCTGCCACCGATCAGCAGGCCTTCATGTCCTTTCCGCGGATCAGAGTGGGGTTTAGGGTTTGGGGTTTGGGGTTTAGGGATTTGGGATTTGGGGGGTTTCCCGACATTGGGGGCACCTTCTTGGGGTCCTTATTATAAGGGAATCCTCCTTTTGGGTGGTATAGATTTTGGGGTCCCTTATTGTCGTAAGTCTTGGGATGTTCCCCCTTATACTTCCAGTCCTTCATAGGGAATATGATTAAGCACTGCCAGTATCTGGGGGAACATCCCAAAGGAAGTCTCTTTTGCGAGTGCCGGCAAGCTGCGAACGATAGCCCGGCACATGGCGAAGGCCTCATCATCATCGGTCTTCACCTGGGCCAGGCCATCAGTTTAACGGACCCCTTATAACCGTGAATCTTCATTCAAGATAACGATTGCGTGTTAATCTGGGATGCGTTGTTTCTAAAAAAAGGTAGAAGCTGGCAAGCCTCAAACTATTATTAGTAGTCGAAACACGGGTTTAAGCTTTGTGTTCTTGAAGCCATGAGCTGAGTTGCTTTGCTTATCCGAAATACACAAAAGAGTAAAACGTGCGCCCTTGGGTCTTTGTACACCACTCGTACAGAAACGAGACAAGTGATGTCTGCTGCTGTCAGATGGGAAATGCAACGGCGAGCTTTCGTCTGAAGCAGATACGCATAAACTCTACAAACAACTTGCAGTGACCATGCACAAAGTTTTACAACGTGTTTCAACATAATAGCCGGCTCCCACACGTTACCTGGACCTGCCCACTACCCTAAACCGTAAAACCAAAAACTAAACCCTGAACCCTATAAACCCTGCAAACCCTATAAACCCTGCAAACCCTAAGAACTATAGAGGCCTTTTAAGCCCTGAACCCGAAGCCCCTTACGCCCTCAACCTTAAACCCCAAAAAGCCTTCCAAGGACCCGATTTGGGGCACTCAAAACCCTAAACCCTAAACCCTAAACCTTAAACCCTAAACCCTAAACCCTAAACCCTAAACCTTAAACCCTAAGTGCAGAAGGGCGACCCAGTGGTCCACGACTTCCCTGTCAAGGACCGTTGGGATGAAGTCGTATCCTTGCTCGAGTCAGGGTTTAGGGTTTAGGGTTTAGGGTTTAGGGTTTAGGGTTTAGGGTTTAGGGTTTAGGGTTTAGGGTTTAGGGTTTAGGGTTTAGGGTTTATGGTTTAGTGTTTAGGGTTTAGGGTTTAGGGTTTAGGGTTTAGGGTTTAGGGTTTAGGGTTTAGGGTTTAGGGTTTAGGGTTTAGGGTTTAGGGTTTAGGGTTTAGGGTTTAGGGTTTAGGGTTTAGGGTTTAGGAGTTTAGCAAGTGGGAGCTTAAGATTTCGGGCTTAGGGTAGGCTGGAGGAACACGAAAGTCACAGACTGCTTGCCAAAGAGAGTAGCCGATGCCCTCCACCTGGTAGGCAGTCAGCCTCAGATTGTGCAGAGGTCCTTCCACCCTTGAACTAGGGCTGAACCCAAGGGGTTGCCCCGGTTGCCCCTAAACCCTAAACCCTGAACCCTAAACCCTAAACCCGCACGAGTCACACGAGGAGCAGAACAAGTGCCGCCGGAAGGCGCCGCCTGCCCGGTGCGCTGGGACTTCTCGTTGACATGGGCAGGCTCGGCCTGGGTGTTCGGAGACTTTCGGGGCTTTGCGGGAAAAACAGAATAAGGGGCCCCACAATATCGGCCCCCTATAACAAGGACCCAAATCAGGTGCCCCTGTTTTTCGTAAACCTCCCATTTGGAAGCACACAAAGTCACAAAGGTTTGGGGCTTTCGCAATGTGAGGGGTCAAGTGCTCGCAGCTTTAGGGGTCTGGTGGTTGAGTGTTTTGGGTGACTTTTGAAGGAAGGGGCCCGGAATGAAGATTGCTGAGTTCCGGACGAGAATGCTGCCATATGGGTCGACACCAACGATCTCAGCGGCTCGAACAACATCTCAGCAACTGGTTGCAAAACCCAAAACCCTACACCCTATAACATGCTCCCCCCACAACGAGCAGGCCTGCACGCTGGGGATCAGCTCCTGCAGAGCCAACGTGCGACGCTTTATCGCATGATCTCAGAGGATGTTATAGGATCTGAAAGCTCTTTGGGCGAACAGCTGCTTAGAAATCTCAGCTGCTGCCGTCCTTGAGCTTCTTGGCCACGCCGGTCATGGTACCACCAGTGCCAGTGGACCTTGACTGGGGGCTTTCCTGATGCCAAGAATTCTCACCTCACCGGGTTTCTGTTTGAAGGACCTGTGTGGGTTGATCATGGGCCTTATAGTACATTCATTCCCACATAGGGTACTGACTGAGTACAAAAAGTGTTCCTCACGGAGCACAAGCCATGAACATCAGCAGTCGAGGCTCATGATCATGTAATCCAGCTTGCCTGCGAAGAGAGTCGCAGACGGCTCACATGGCCGTTCATGAGGTGTGAGAGGGGACACCAAAAGCTTCCACGCTAAAGCCTTAAACCCTCAGCCCCTCTACTCAGAAATTGTTTGAGACCGGGGCGACGAAAGCTAGCAGAAGGACGGGGCGCGGACAAGAAAGAGGGCCAGGGTAGTAGTGAAGACCGCGTGGGTGAACTGCGCGACCCCGCGTTAAGAGTGACATTCACAAACGCCCAGCCATGTTCCCCCAATTCAATTCTGCAAAGCCTATGGAGGATGGAGGCGGGAGGGGAGTAGGGATCGCTCCGCCTTTAACAGCGGTCGACTATCGAATCAGTATGCCATCTTGGCCTTGGATCCACGAAGCCTCCAAGCACGAAGCAGGTTCAGCCCTAACCCTAAAACCGAAAACCTAACACCCTAAACCCTAGCACCCTAAACCTTACAACCCTAAACCCTAAACCCTAAACCGCCTTAGCACTGAAAACCCCAAACCCCAACCCTAAGCCCTAAACCGCCGCACTGAAAACCCTAAACCCCAAACCCTAAACCTTAAAACCCTAAACCCGAAACCTTAAAACCCTAGCCCTAAACCCTAAGCCCTAAACCGCCTTCGCACTGCTCGGCGATCTCCTCGGCCGTGCCATCGTAGTGGGCCAGCGGGTTGCCGGGGTTCAAATACTGGTCAAGCACGTGGCCACCTGAGCGCCACCCAAGGGGCCCAAGAAGGGTTTAGGGTTTAGGGCGAGATTAGGATTTGGAGTTAGGGTTTGTGGTTGAGGGTTTAGGTTTTAGGGGGTTTTAGAACTTGCAACCCTGGAGCGATGAACTATTCACTGGCACTTGCTACCCTGATCTACCGTGCCAGCATATGGCGGTTTCCGACCCCATGTGTACCCAAAAAGAATCGAGTCTTCATTTCAGCAACCCCACAGTAACAGTAGGCTGCCCTAAGCCCGAAGTGCACCGAAACCTCCCCAAAGGATATCCCATGTGCCAACTGCCTGGGGCCCCCGACCCAAGTCCTTGGCAAGCCTGGCAGACAGGAAGATGTGGCTGTCCTTTGCGTCCCAGGCAGCCTGAGCAAGGCGTTGAGGTTTAGGGTTTAGGGTTGAGGGTTTAAGGTTTAGGGTTTAGGGTTTAGGGTGTGTTACGTTCTGGGTTGCTCGCTGGGCTCCGGGGCCTCACCTTATGTTTCCAACCGGCCCCTCTGCCCGGGCCGCTCGCAACATCGCGCGGCGGTAAGCCCACCCCAAGCCACCCGGCATATGCATTTTTTCGGTTTAGTTCCTAAAGTCTGGCTTTGCTTTTTCCAGCGGGGGCATGCTGTGCCCCTGCGCACGCTGTTTCAACACCGTCCCGATAGCTCTCTCATTAGAATAGTTCGAGAAAGCCCCTAGCTTTTAGAGGGGAGAAAATATGGTAGAGAGAAAAACGCCTTCGATGTTTTCCTAGCATCGAGAGTTCCCCCTAGCGTACACGGTCGTAACCCACTTCGTGTGTCACGAGTGCAAGCTTTCGAAGCTTTTGGAGGAGAAGCGTCCAGGGCCTCCCACGCAGGTTTACTTCTGGAGGCTACCAGAAGCTTTTGTGAGGCTGCTAGGGGTTCCGACACTCAAACATTAACAAAAAACGAGAGTTGATCAGCAAAGTGGAAAAAGGCTCAGAAATGGTCCGGGTAAGAGCCCAAAAAGGCTCAGAAATGATCTGGGAGAAGCCCGAAAGGCTTTGAGATGATCAAATGGTCTGGGGAAGCTCAAAAAAGCTCAGAAATGGTCTGGGAACCCAAAAAAGCTCAGAAATGCTCTGAAAGAAGCCTCCAGAAGCTTTTGTGAAGCCAAAATTCCAGAAACGAGAGGCCTCCCAAAACCGCTGATTGCAGTACTAAAAAATCGCTTTTCATTGTGGGTCCAGGCCAATCCTGGGGTCCCCCCATTTGGGCGCTTCCTAGTGAACGAAATGGAAAAAGGCTCAGCAATGGTCCAGGAAGGCCCAAAGAAAGCTCCGAAATGGGCCAGGAATGGTCGGGGGGAGCCCAAAAGGCTCAGAAACGGTCTGCGAGAAGCCCGAAAAACGCTCCAGAAGCTTTTGTGAGGGGCCGCAAGGGCTTCCGGCAGCACAAAAAGAACAATCGATTTCGGTATTAAAAAAGCGCCTTTTCATTGTGGGTCCAGGCAAATCCTGGGGTCCCCCCATTTGGGGGCTTTGTCGTGCATGAAAAAGAAGCTTGTTTGCTCTGGGAAAAGCCCAAAAGGCTCAGAAATGGTCTGGGGGGAAGCCCAAAAAAGCTCAGGTCGAAATGGTCTGGGGGGAGCCCAAAAAAGCTCAGAAATGGTCTGGGAGAAGCCCAAAAAGGCTCAAGCCCAAAAAAGCTCAGCTGGGACAAGCCCAATGGTCTGGGCACCGGCAAAATGTCTTGGGTTACGGGTCTTTACCTTTGACACTCAAAGGCTCGACCGCCTTGACGGCCAGTGTGGGCCTTGCCTTGCTTTGGAGCGTGCCCCAGCTTTACGTGGGCTGCACGATCAGTGCTCTCAGGTCGCAGCCCTCAGCAGGACTTTAGGGTTTAGGGTTTAGGGTTTAGGGTTTAGGGTTTAGGGTTTAGGGTTTAGGGTTTAGGGTTTAGGGTTTAGGGTTTAGGGTTTAGGGTTTAGGGGGTGTGCTTTGGGCATGCTGACCGAGCCGAACGGACCTCGCTTCCACACCAGCTTATCTTCAGAAAGTCTGGCGCCTGCCTCGGTAGGAGTTCGGAGGATCTCTGCACCCAGGCACTTCATCGTGTTCACCTTCTCACCAGACATCTTCCTTGGCAAGGTGCAGGGCATCTCGGCAAAAGGACTGGCCACTGCACATGGCGCATGTTCACCGCACTCCGGGGATCCGGCTGCGGCAAGCAGATGATCTGCTTGTAGCCTGGCAAGGCCCGAAGTGCCGTGCACAGAGCTTCATATCTTGCACTGTGAGTGAGCTGTGGTCTTCTGAGGCCTAACAATCTAAACAATTCAAGGTTCAAGGGGAGGGCAAAAGGCCTTTGATTGCCGAGATGAGGCAAAGTCCAACTCCAGTGTTGCCGCTAGTGGCCTCGATCAGAATGTCACCTTGGCCAAGACGATCCCATGAGAGAGCAGCATACAGGCGAAGGAACACAACTGTCACATTCCAAGCCATCGAAGCGTCTGGGCCAAAATTTCCGTCATGACTGGTCCCGTAATGTGGGTACTCTGGTCTAATCCCTAATCCCTAAACCCTACACCCTAAACCCTAAACCCCCAAACCCTAAAGCCCTAATGCCCAAAACCCAAAACCCAAAACCCAAAACCCCTAATCCCCAAAACCCCAAAACCCTAGACCCGAAACCCCTGGTGCTCAGGGCGCTGCCGGGCTTGATTCGGCCGCTCCTGGGACAAGACGATGGATGTAGGGGCCCCCAAGAAAGGAACCCCCCCCCCCCCCCCCCCAATTTTCGGAAACCGAAGATGGGGTAAACCCTAAACCCTAAACCCTAACCCCTAAACCCTAAACCCCCACATAGGGCATCTGAAAGGATGCGCGCCGAGCCGCTTCTCAGCCTCCTCGACCATCCTCTTCGCAATGCGGTCCTCACTTCGGGTGGTTCGGGTTTAGGGTTTAGGGTTTAGGGTTTAGGGTCTAGGGTCTAGGGTTTAGGAAATTTCAGGGTTTGGGGGTTACACGGACTAGCTGAGGTTTGGGGGGTTTAGGGAGACTCGGGTGTGGATCGGGGAATCATTCAAGCCGGGCCTTGACAGAGCCGCCGGCGTTGAAGAGCTCAACCTGTCTTTATGGGGTTCTAAGCGTTTTGGGTTTAGGATTTAGGGTCTAGGGTTGAGGGTTTAGGGTTTAGGGTTCAGGGTTTGGGGTTTAAGGTCTTCTAGAGATTTCCGAAATTAAGGATACCTTCTTGGGGTCCTGAGTATCAGGGAATCCTACTATTTGGGGACTAGATTAGGGTCCGGTACTTTTTTAAACCACCAGATATGTCCCCATCTAAGCCTTCTGAAAGGATACAGGGGGATGTTTTTTGCCCTGCAATTCTTAGTAGGAAACCCTTGAAGGTTTTGAAGGGTTATGCAGGGGGATGTTTGCCCTACCAAGAACTAGTGAGCAGTCCAAGTCCGGGGATCTCCACATTTTTGACCGTGCACTCCCCCTCCCTCCCTCTCCCACAACGATCACCATGCTGTGACTCACGGTGGTCTTCATATTGAGCAGGGGCCTTAGCCTCAGCCCGCGCGATGAATCGTGCTCAATAGGATGATGGGCCCTTTGGGGCTCCGAGTATAACACGGAGTGCCTCATATTCAAGACAACCCCAAATGGGACCGGACTTCAGAGCACAGTCCAAGTAGCCGTCCTACACCCTAAGCTTTAAATTCCCTAATCCTACCTAAACCCTAAAACCCTAAAAACCCTAAAGACCCTAAAAACCCCCTAAAAACCCCTAAAAACCCCCTAAAAACCCCTAAAACCCTTGCCGAAACCCCTGGACCCGACAACCCTAAACCCTTACAACCCCGAGCCCTGAAACCCTAAGAGGCAGCTGCTGCGCAGTTGGCCCGGCCTTGCCAAGCAACTCACAGTCCACATCCTTTGGGCGGGCAACGGAGTTCAGAAGAAAAGTTCAGGGGCTTTGGGTTTCGGGTTTAGGGTTCTTTATGAGTTCAGAAGAAAAGTTCAGGGGCTTAGGGTTTCGGGTTTAGGGGTTTCTTTATGGTTTTTTGGGGGTTGTAGGGTTTTAGGGTTTTATGGGGTTTAGGGACTACGGCTTGGGAGGGGCTCATTTAAGGGCTTACTGGGCTTCCTGTATAACGAAGATACAGGGGCTGAAAGGGGTTTGGGGTTTAGGGGTTGAGGCTTTCTAGGGTTTATGATACGATGTAGGGCTTTCAGGTGCAACTCAGGGGGCTCATAGAAGATCGAATGTCTAAAACAAAAAACAATTAGGTTTAGGGGTTAGGGTTTAGGGTTTAGGGTTTAGGGTTTAGGGTTAAGGGTTAAGGGTTTAGGGTTTAGGGTTTAGGGTTTAGGGTTAAGGGTTGCCCGAAACCCTCAGAGAGCTACTGGCTAGGGGCTGAAGAGTCCACCGAAGCTGGGTCGAGGAAAGAGGTTCAGGGCTTTTGGGTTTGGTGTACCTGCAAGGGTTTAGGGTTTTAGGGTTTAGGGTTTAGGGTTTAGGGTTTAGGGTTTAGGGTTTAGGGTTTAGGGTTTAGGGAGGCAGGATCAAGCAACTTAGGACAGTTCTACGAAAACCAATGACCCCAAGAGGGAAGGGTTTTGGAGGGGGTTTGGATTCTGCCAAGCCAAGCTGCAAAGAACTTGGAGAAGCGCGACATACGAACCATCCTGGACCAAGCTAAACCCTAAACCCTAAACCCTGAACCCTAAACCCCCGCATGAGACCAGGATGGGCTGTTTAGGGTTTAGGGGGCCTGGTTAAGGGATAAAAGGGTACAACTGCCCGTCCTGGGACCTTGCCAGCAAGATTTTGGCTAGAAGTATCAAGCGGATCGGTTGCGCAGATGGGGCTCTGTAGTGCTGCGCTGGGTAAAGGGACCTCCGGCTGCTAGGAGTGCATCCCAGCCGTGGTCTGTATAGGTTTCAGGCAACCCGAATCCCTGAAACTCTGAACCCGAAACCCTAAACCCTAAACCCTAAACCCTAAGCCCTAAACCCTAAACCCTGAACCCGGAGCCCGAAACCCTAAATTGCCTCTCAGAGTTATTTTTGGAGGGTATCCCCTCCAGATGGCGGCTGGGATGCGAAAATTCTAACAACTTTCCTCAAACCTCTGCAACCGGGCGCTGTGCTAGCCCCCTAAACCCTAAACCCTAAACCCTAAACCCTATCCCCTATCCCCTAAACCTAGAAAAGTAGAGCTAACGTCACATCCGATGCTGCGCGCACCTCATGGATGAAGTGGGGTTCAGTGCCTTTGTACACCAAAAACCCTTAAAAACCCAAACCCGAGGCAAAGCCCCGAAGGCTGCTCGCATCCCAGGAGCGGGGTGAAGCCAATCAAGTCAAGAGCGGAATCGCAAATCTTGCCGTACGGCCTGCTCGCACGGGCGGATAGGGAGTATTATCATGGGGCTTCGCCGGCTTTTGTGGGGTTGGAGTCTCATTTAGCAACAAATGTTATCTTTTTTGGGGTACTAGAATCACGAGACGCCGATGTAGAACAAGCCCCCCACACTGCTGTCTCCTGCACAACCTGCCTTCCACCCTTGATGGGGCCCACTGACAGCTTCTTGAAGGAGTCATCGATCTCCTTGTCCCAGCCAACCTGAATCCGGTGTGGGACCGGACACTCAGAAGGCCGTGGAGAGACAGAAAAGACCCATGAGCTCTCTTTTCACAATGCTAGGACCGGTACGAGGAAGCAGCCGCTTCCCAAAGGGGTTCATCTGACAGCTATGGAAGTCGGTATCCCAAAACCCTGTTTAGTATAGTTTTGGGGTACCTGATTCCATAGCTTAGTTGCCCAGTAACCTGGGGGAATTCAAGGTGAACCTTTGGGATTATAAGGGGATTATACTACCCCAAAAAGGTTAAAGGTTTCCTAGTCTACTGCTAGGATAGTGGGTACGCGTACTACAGATGGACCCACTGGTGGCCTTGTTTCCAGCCTGGGAGCATAGTTGGGTGCCTTCACCTCACCCTCCTTGGCTTCATCGTAGGGCATCTTCTGCATCTCACGCCTCGTCTACTCGCCCACAGGTTGAGGGTTCAGCGGTTTAGGACTTCAGGATTTATGGGTTTAGGGGTTTGGGGTTTAAGGGTTTAAGGGTTTAAGGGTTTAAGGGTTTAAGGGTTTAGGGTTTAAGGGTTTAGGAGTTCGACTCAACACGTCTGAAGCTTGAGAGGTGGCTTATGATTCGGAAACCTCATATAACGGATTCTTAGTGACTTCGTCACTTACTAACTTACTAACTTGGTGAGTGAACCTACAAAAAGCAGTTAGGCTTTGGGGCTCAAAAAGTACATCGACGTGACAGCTTGACTTGCGTAACGGCAATGGTGCTACAACCCTAAACCCTAAACCCAAGGCGCTACGAGGTGCTACAAAGCTGGGCCACACTTGCATCCTGGGCACGCGCGGGCAATGATGGGGTCCACTGCTGCGATGAAGCGGGCTTGAGGCGCCATGCTCTTCAGCCTCGACCCACAAAAAAAAATAATAAAGTAAAAAACAGAAGTCAGCCACAGGGTGGAAGCAAACGAGCAGGAAGTCTGAGTCGCAGGCCCCAGGCGCTGAACACCCGAAAGGGCTGCCTTTCCAAAACGAGACCTTGCTTCAAAGAACCGCAGGTCCCACATGACCCAACATCCGAGCAGAATGGAAGTGACATGGATTCACGCAAGCATCTGCCAAGACACATCACAGCGGGCATAGTGCGAAGAGCTTGATGGCTAGCTGCAGGACTACGCTGGTTTGAGATTCTTTGATCTGCACTCCGGCCGGGCGAGTTGCATCCAACAAGCGAGCGACACGCGTGATGCTACAGTCCAATGATGCTCAAGACTCGCCTGCGACTCAAGAGTCGGCTCTTAGCAAACAGGGTGGACTGGGCCTATGTAAAAGCGGCATCGCACCCTGTACCCTATCGACTCCATCGCCCTCTAGAACATCTTGCGGATCCCCACTAACGGCGCCAGATGGGCACTCCTGGACTCCCGGACGGATGATGCACAAAGCCATATGCCCCCAAACACCCAGGGTTGGGATGCAGAGTGCGCCCTAAGCCTTTAAGCAACCTCAACGCTCCAATCTCATGCGGCATGCTACAGTCCAAGTGCCGACACAGACCCTAGCATCCCTACCTCGGCCCACCATCATACCTCTGAACCCTCAAACTCTGGAAGCACACACACCCTACACGCTCAAAGCACCACGTTGAGTGCTGCCTCAGGATCACCCCATCGCTGCAGAACCGGAAGGGACCAGTCCTCGTTTTGAGGGTTTTTGAGGCTTATGGGCTTTGGACTTTGCAAGGCACCCTGGTGACACAGTGACATAGGGGCCCTTCGGGTTTGGAAGGGTTGCAGGCTTGCGTGGTCAAGGTTCAAGATTTACATCTAATGATCATATACATAATACAAATATACATATATATATATATGTATATATACATAAAATATAATATTACATATGTATATACACACACACAAGGACGACTCCAAGATGAAGTGGAGAGGGGGCGATGGGGAAATCTCCTCGTACTGGGGAGCGCAGCCTGCAGCATGCGGCGCGACCTGAAGCAACCGGCGGATCCAGAGAACTTAGGGGTTAGGGGGCTTAGGGCTTAGGGGGTTGAGGGAGTTTAGGAATTAGGGTTTGGGGTTTGGGGTTATGGGGTTTGGGGCTTGGGGTTTGGGGTTTGGGGTTTGGGGTTTGCGGTTTAGGGTTTAGGGTTTAGGGTTTAGGGTTTAGGGTTTAGGGTTTAGGGTTTAGGGTTTAGGGTTTAGGGGGCATGCTCAGTTCTCTGCATGGTGGGTTTGGGGTTTAGCGGCTTAGGGGTCCTTTCTTGGGCATCCGAATAAGGCTCCGTGCTGAAAAAATAAACCCCACATGCTAAACCCGAAGCCCGCCCAGGCACCTACATGATCTGAATAGGGTTTCGGGTTTAGGGTTTAGGGTTCCCAAGCCCTGAGCCCGAGAAACCCTAAGCCCTGCAACGTTTCAGCCTTGGAAGCCGAATACGCCTGCATGAAGGAAGCCTTTAGGGTCCTCAGTGTGAACTAAGGCTTGATACCAAATGGAGACTCACCTCCAAAGGGTCCACTGCGCCCGACATTACATGACCCCCCCCCCCACCCCCACACCCTAGAGACCATATTCCTTAAAGAGGGGCTGCTGGGCTCAAAGGGGTTTAGGGTTGCAAGTTCCTAAACCCTAAACCCCAAAACCCCAAATCCCAAGCTTACAAGCAACGGTTGTCGACTGAGGTCCCCTGCTCCCAAGTTCATGGCCGCGGATACAAGCCAACGTGCTCCACTCCATGTTTGGGGGGTTTAGGGTTTAGGGTTTAGGGTTAGGGCTTAGGGTTTAGGATTAGGATTAGGGGTTTAGTTTTAGGGCTTTAGGGCTTTAGGGCTTCTTGGTCTTAGGGTTTAAAGTTAAAGAGGGTTTGTTGGGTTCTGGGCTTGCAGGGTTATAAGGGGTTTGCAGTGTGAACACTATGCCCTCCAGTCTGTCACCCCAAAAAAGCCTCATTTTGAATGGTAGTTCAAGGTAATTTGCTGCTGTTGTTTAAGGGGCATCGGGCTTTCTGGCAAGCCCGAGTCTCCACTGATGCAGCACCCACAATGACTGCATTGAGTGTGACGCTTCCATGTCTGCAGCCAATCCATAGATTGCAGGCCCACACCGCCTTCGCCAGCTGTTGCGAGCCCACAGCCCGCGCTAAACGAGCCTCGGGGGATGTGGTAGTATGGGACCCTTAAAAGGGGGCCACTAGAAAGCCCCTTATATACCCTATGCAGATGAAGGGCCCATACGTCAGAACCCTGTAAAGGAGGTTAACGGTTATGGGGACCATAGTAAGGGCCCATGTAACTACCCTTAGAATCTTCTCTTGAGAAAACCGGTGTCGCAAGCCCTGAGAAGCCGGCGCTGACGACTGCCCAAAGTTGGACCATTGTGCGCTGCCGCCGCACGCATGCAGCCAGAGACTCCTGCGACAGCTGCATGGAGATGAGAAGGATTCACAAAAACTGCTCAGCTGCTGAATGCTTAGGGGCTTGACATTCCAGCTCAAGTTCGCACAGTCTTCGGTTTTCAAGCTTCAGGCAGAAAGGACCACGTCACAATGTTCGCGACAGAAAACCTGTAGACTGCACTGTGATCTGCTTCAAGAGCTGTGGCACTGCCTGGCTTCTTCAGCAAAAGCAAGCAAGACTTGGCCCAGCATGGATGGCACAAGTTGCGTCAATGCTGTTATCATGGGACCAAACAGTACACGCTCCAAGCTCAACTCACCGTAGTGCACCTACTGAGGTTAAGCAACAAAGTCCGTTGCCCGGCAAGGGTGCTTGCAGGCCCTTAGCCTTCCAAAGCACAAAGGATAAACGGCTTTTATGCATGATATGTATCATATATGATACATGATGTACATGATGTAGTATGTGTATACGTACATATATGAAAAAACATATATAAAATATATAAATATATATACATATATATAATATGCACCCACATATGCTTTGTGTGTGTGTATGTATGTATGCATGTATTTTACAATGCCAACTCCTGGGCTGCATTGAGGTCTGCGGCGGCTGCGTTCATGGCCTGGTCTCCGGTTTTTGGGGGCTTTGTTTGTTTTTTTTTTTAATAGGGCTTATCGGGTTTTCATAGGGCTTATCCGCGCCACCCAAAGAAAACCGACGTCTGGCGAAGGCAGCAGACTCAACCCTAAACCCTCAGCCCTAAACCCTCAATCCTGCAATCCTGCCTCCAAGTGCCGCTGTATGCTCGCAATCTCCTGTTCACACAGGTCGGCATTGCCACAGCTTGGATGAGGAACTCGTCTTTTTGGAGGTTGTCAGGATTTTTGAGGCGTGGGGAGACTCACGCAAGAAGCTATCCGGTTTAGAGGCGTAGCTAGCATTCGTGTCTAGGGCGTAGGGCGTGCAGGATATGCGGCTCAAGCTCAAAGAACCACAAGAGAAAAACTCTAAACCCTAAATCCTAATAACCCTAAACCCTAAACCCTAATCCTAAACCCTAATAACCCTAAACCCTCATAGCCCTAAACCCTAAACCCATTAGCCTACATCAGCCGGCCTCCTCCTCGGCAGGGCCCTCAGAGGTCCTTCCAACAGCTGCAGAAAACTTGGGGGGCACCTTTGGGGGTTTTGGGGATTGTGAGCTTTAGGTGCCCCCTGGGCCGTTGGTGCCAAGCAGCATAACTGGTATTACTGTATTAGTAGTAGTGTATATATAGAAAATAATAAACACATATATATATATATATGCTACTATATGATGATGATATTGAGTAGTTTTTACCATATTCCATGGTGCTGTATTCATGTGACATACACATGGTAGCCTACCCCCACATGTTGGCCCCACGACCTTCTCAGGTCGTTCCACGTGCAGCATCTCTCGAGAGCGTGGTGCTCCAAGTGATCCGCAGGCCGCCTGGCAGCGGGATGTCAGGCGCAGTTGTGTTTGAAAAAGTAGATCCACTTATTTAAGGGTTCTTAAAACATGACCCAATAGTAGTATTCTGAAAAGTAGATCCCCTTAAGGGTTCCTAAAAATGATCCAAAAGTAGTATAGGGTACTACTTGGGGGTAGTACTTTTTGGGTGCTCATGCTCCGCATTCCAGATCCTCAGACCATGCGCAGCTCAAGCAGGCAGGGCAGCCCGTCATCCGGCTCATGCTTCGCCGCAGTCTCCTCTAGCGCCTTGTGGCCTGGCCACTGCAACATTGCCAAAGTTGGCAGAAGGGCTTCTTGACGCTTGACCAGCCTGGGATGTCCTCAACGGACACCTCAGCAACGGCCTGACAGGCTTTCGGGTCGTACAGCACAGGGGTCCCTCCTATGCCAGCTTGTGCAGCGCGCCTGTAAGTTGGGCGAGCTTCCAAAAGGCGAAGAAGTTTGTGAGTAGTCGCTTCCGGATCTGCTCCGTCGCCTCTTCTGCCTCCAGCAAGCAACCCAGCACTCGACAAGCTCCTTGTACTGTAAAAAAATCGCCAGACACAGCCGGCTCTGCCTGCTGTCAGGCATGAAGCTCGGAGGGTCCGAACCTTGATGGCGGCATGGCCACACAGGGCAAACGCGGGCTTAGCACAAGGGCTCCCAGATTCTCCACACAAGAACAAACAACCTCTTCCTCGCCACTTCATGCATCGAGGCGGCCGCCGGCGTGGATGACAGGCCTCCGTTTTTTCCGCTGCGAAAGGCAAACAAGTCTTGGAATTCGTGGGTTCTCCGACTCTACCACAACCTGCCAGGCAATGGCACTCCAAACACACAGCCCCAGAAACCCTGAACCCTTTTAAGGGATCCTTAGGAAAAATCCTGAAAATCCATCCCAGGGGCGAAAGAACACATCGACCCCACAGAGGCAGCGCAGCTTCCGAAAATTTGGGGTTCCCAGGTACAATAGCAGAGCCGCCCTTTAAATCGACGCTCCAGAAAAAAAACCCGAACTGTCTGAAGCCCTCAAGTGTGCCCGATCTCTCTAGGCGCGCGGGGTCTGCAGCAGAGCCCTCAACCCTAAACTCCCTGAAATCCCCTAAGCCCTTGAATCCCATAAATCCCTGAAACCACTTAATCCTTTAAATCCCTTAAATCCCTCCTTAAATACCCTGAACCTCCCTAAACCCCGTGTAGCCGGCGAGAAAGGCTCAAGGCCGTCATCTGCCTGGGGCAAGA